ACTTATTGGTTTCTAAAAACAATAGACTACTTTAATATAATGTGTATAGGCAAATACTTATTTTTTTTATTTTTATTTATTTATTTATTTTTTTTTTGGTTAATTTTATGACTAAAAATTCTATTTCAGAGTTTATCAGCACTGAAATCGTTTTCAAAGCTAATCGATGCTCCCAAAAATTGCTTACTCACTTAAATTAAATTCGCAAATAAACAAAATTAAAAATAATTATGCTGTCTGCCTTAATAAAACACTAAACTGTAGTTAATAAGTAAAGAAAATGAAATAAATATAATATAAAGAAATAAAAAAGAAATAATTTAATATAAGGAACTTAAAATAAAATTATATTTAATATATTTTGGATTTACTAAACTTATTTGGATAAAACTTTTCATTTCGATAATATACAAATTTTTATAGAGTTATAAGTTATAGAGTTATAGCAAATAATTTTTAAAATATTCCAAATATTAGAAGATATTAGACTCATAAGTCATTCATCGAAGCCCACACAATTTTTAAGCTTTTACAAAATCTCGAAAACTACTTCCAACTATATGCATATCGTTCTAGAGTCATACCTTATAGACAGATGATTCAAAGAAACGGTTATAAGTGTTACGACAGCTAAGTTAGATACAAAGGTAGAACTTTCTTGGTTCATTAGAGTCTTGTCGGAGAGTTTTGAATACTAGTCGTATTAACAAAATCTTAAATTATACAATGTAAAGTTTAAGAGTCATTTCGAAGTGACAGAAAGTTTTAAATAAAGGTTATAAGTTTTACTATAGCCAATTTTGATACAACGGTATGTCTTCCTTGGTTCATTAGTCTCTTGTCGAAAAGTTTTGAATACTTGTTTCTTTTTCAAAATCTCGAAGACCACTCTCAATTATATATTTAAAATTCATAACTAATTCACAGAAAATATCAAATGTTATAAGTTTTACGACACCTAATTTTGAAATAAAGGTAGGACTCGGTATTTCACATTTTGTTAACTTTCCATATATCAAACAATTATTGTTTTGTTACTTCAACCATTGCTATCCTTAGTTCACAATCAAAAGCCATTCAAAGCATCTAGAGACCTTAATGAATACCTCAACTTTATTAAAATTTGGCTAATTAACTGACACGAATGCAAAACCACTTATATTTACCCTACGTAAGGACATATGTTCTTCAGTCGCTTTCAACGGTATCACTATTCCACAAGCAAACAAAGTGTTTTATCTGGATGTTCTCCTCCATAGGAGACTAACCTGGTATGAAAAAGATCTACTGACCATAAAACAAAAGCTTCAAGTTGCGAGTACACTCTAAAGAATTACATTGAAATAGTTCACTTAAAACAATTTGGATGTATGGTACGGAATTATGTGGAAACGCGTGTTCCACCAACATTGAGTTAATTTCATTCTATTTTTGGTACACCGTGGTATATAAATAAAATATATAAAAGCGATAAAATTAAGGAAGATCTAGAAATATACATAAAAACTTTTTCTGCTACTTTTTTATGTATCTTATGGAACCAAGAAATATTCGTTAATTTAATTAATTAATTTTAATTAAAGAAGCAGTAACCTTTTTTCGTTGTCAGTTAGTCTTTATAATTCGTTATCCATCAATTTTATTAAATATTAATTTGAAGTCTAATAAAAATATTATGCGTGTTTTTTTGTAAGTTACATTTCATTGTAACAAAAAATATCGACAAGTATTTTTATAATATAATATGCTTGTATTTCTACAAAAATATCTACAAGTCAAAATATTTATTAATAAGGACATTTCTCTATATGACTTAATAACTTTAGTATGTGATATACACTACTCTTTTTTAAACTTTTCTGCTATCTAGTGAATGGATGGTGATTACTTTTAATCACCATGATCCTTTGAAAGTTCTTCGGTCTCAGGAGTATAACGATGGATACTCATTTAGCTAAAAATCTATTTTTCTTTAATGTGATCTAACAGAGTTCTAAAAATTAAGTACCTACCTTAACTCGTCATATCTGAATAGAATGCAATATTTTTTATATTAAGTCAAGTGAAATGTACATGGCTTCAGTAAGTTCCTTTATTTTTTTTCAATGATTATTCAAAATTATAAATGCAGTGATATTTTTGGCAATCTTATCACCTAACCCGGTTTAGCTAATCATCTACCTTTTTACTGTTTAATTAAATTTAAATTTAATTTAATTGCAACGAAACATTATTATTTAAATACAAAAGTTCAATCACAATCTGATTTTTATTTCCATCCATTTTCAGAAAAAACTTAAAATCGGCCGACGAAAAAATTATCAAAAATTATTTTAATCATATTTAATGTAATCTCCTTAATATTGAAAATTAAATATGAATGAATGAATATGAATGTTGAAATGAAGATTCTGTTTCTACGATAAATTAAAAACTTTTTTCATATCGAAAGTATCTCAAGTTTTCTAGAGTATCTCAAATTCCGTAGTGTCCAAGGCAGATACTATGTCATAGGAGGTTTAAACTTATTAATCATTTTATAAGAATGTTCATTTATTGTTTACATTACAGGATACAGCTTCATTCTGATTTATGAGTCATTTGATTTCAAATAACCAGTAAATATAATAAATTCTCTTTATTTATTAATTTGTTATAAACATTATAAATTGTTTCTTAACAATTGTAAATATCATATAAGTTTTAACTTTATCGGAACTACTAGTGTAATATGTAGACAAAAATTTTATAATACAGTTTAATTAAACTTTCATCCTAGTATTAGAAAAGATAGGTACATCATTAAAATTTTATCAATGACTTTCTTAAAAAGTTTAAAACGTCACATTAACCACTACTATCGTTAACAAACTATTTTAGCATTCACGAACTGACATATATACTCATAAACCAGGTACGTAACAAAGAGAGGGACTTGAGATCCTCTCAAGACCGCCAACAAACATGAATCAATGGATTATAAATATACACATTTATATTCATTATTAATGCATAAAATCAACGAAAAAATTTGTTTTATGGAATGAAATTATCTAATAGGTTTTCCTAAGCAAATTTCTGGCTATAAGTCTGTAGTGAACTATTAATTAAAAAATAATATGTGTTAATTATTATAATGTTTAAAACTCGATATATTATCACAAGTGAACTAATATATGGTATATACACATATAATTATGTGTATGCACACATATACATCTAAATAGATGAACGGTAATTGTATTTTTATTGATCTGTTTATTTCAAGTTTGTGATTAATTGGTGATATAAAAACTATTATTAACGTGATTTCGTTATCAACAGAAATGAGTATATTTTTATTGTTTTCAAGTGTCGATATCAGAGTTTCAAAGTTTAATATTAAGGAGACTATTTGTGTGATTGGGTATACGAGTTGCTATATAAGTAGACATCAATTGAGCCGATAATAAAGTATAAAACAGCTGCCATTAACCCGCCATTCCATAAAGTTTTATGGGACTGTCATATGATCCTTATATTTGCATTATTAGTTAACTACTGTATTTTGTTTATTCTATATTATGTTGAAGAAAAAAACCATAATAGTAATAATGTTCATAAACTTTGAGTAGAATCCAAGGAAAGAAACATCAATAGCCGTAATGCTTTGCTTGTCGATTCTTTATTCAAGGTATATGCGAATCGTTATGCACACAACCGACATCATTACTTTGGCCATATAGCAAAGTAGATTTCACACAATCGTTGAAGACCTTTGTTTTCGGATATTGCACGTTATTTAGGTTTCTTAAACGGTTGTTTACGTTGAATCATAGTCACCATCGCTATCTTACCAACACTTACCAAATATAAACTGCTGAACATCTTTGATATTTTGGCTATTACGCGCAAAAAGTTCGAAGAATTGATATAAGTCCGCTCTGGCTGCTTGCTTAAAAACATTAATAATCAAAGCTTGCATATCTGTTAGTCTTCTTGCCGTAATACCATGTCATCAGCAAACTTAAGATGTTCAAGTTTTTGATAGAACCTCCATTTAATACTGGCTGGCATTTCTTCAACCGTTTCTTGGATGGTATCAAGAACTGTGATATATTGTGAAATATAGTCAACCGATATAGGTCGTTTCAATATTTAAAGTACATTTCTATATGCAAATCTATTCCAATCGAAACAGAAAATCTAAGGATATTACTGTAATCGAAACTGACATACAGTAAAGTATAGATAAAGGCAAACCAAACAAACCAATAGCTCAATCTGAATTACAACCTGTACATTAAGAAAGCTTATGACTTGATTTCCGTAGAAACCTATTTTATCTTTCGACTTTTAGCTTTATATTTCTTTATATTTTAAGTTAATTTAAGGTTTTAATGGAGAGTATAAACCAAGCTGTGACTTGTCCAGCCTCTATTGATCAGCCAAAGAAAGGGTTTGACTTTTAGACCATGAGTATTACTGACAGGTATAGAAATAGATGAAAGCTACGAGTAACGTTTTTTAGCTCATTAGTGCATTTATCTTGTTGCGATACCCGAGAATTCATATTGGAGTTATACTTGATCTGCAACAAAGGATGTGACAATATATAAACCAGACTTTCTGTCTTTGACTGCTGCGTAATTATTACCAAAGATTTATAATGAATTGAGTTATGCGCTGGTATAATTGTCGCTTTTGTAAGGCTAGTTTTAAAGGCGACAAAAGAAACTTTGCTTGCTTAATAATTTCTTTGTGTTTTACTTAATAGTTCTGAATACTTTTTACATACTATATATTTTTAAACTGTTCGAATATAATCTGATTTAGATCACATTTATAATGC